TTTCTATGTGGTGTTGAGCATAGAGGTCTTCATTATGACTCAGGAAATGGAAGTTCCACTTCCAATATGAGCTGCGTCTCTGTCACAAATGGCTTTATTATTCAAAATGTCCAGACCCCAGTTTCTGTCTTCACTTGACTGAGAAGAATTCAAGGACAGAGAATGTTCTAGTCTCCTTTGTATCTCTAGTATCTAGTACAGGGCCCCAAAATGTTTGAGGGTGGAATGACTAGGGAAGGAGGGGAAAGAAGGAGGAAGAGATTTGTGTTGTAACATCAGTCCTGGTGTTAGCAATATGAATTAAAACAGTTTGCAGGGTTTGTTGAAATACAAAAATTATCTGGGCGTGGTGGTACATACCTGTAGTCTCAGTTACTTGGGAGGTTGAGGCAGTAGAATTGCTTGAACCTGGGTGGCGGAGGTTACAGTGAGTTGATATCGTGCCACTGCACTCCAGCCTCCTGACAGAGCAAGATTCTCTCAAAAAATATATATATATATATGATCTTCTCAAGAGCCACCCTAACCAGATTCAGTACAATGTTAAAATGCACCACCCAGGCCGGGTGTGGTGGCTCACGCCTGTAATCTCAGCACTTTGGGAGGCTGAAGTGGGTGGATCACAAGGTCAAGAGATCGAGATCATTCTGGCCATGGTGAAACTTCATTTCTACTAAAAATACAAAAATTAGCCAGGTGTGGTGGCATGCGCCTGTGGTCCCAGCTACTCAGAGGCTGAGGCAAAGAATCGCTTGAACCCAGGAGGCCGAGGTTGCAGTGAGCTGAGATTGTGCCACTGCACTCCAGCCTGGGGACAGAGTAAGACTCCGTCGGGGGAGGCGGGGCGGAACACACCACCCAGAAAAGAGAGCACCTTTGGTTCATGCTGGAGAATCTTTCTTGCCAGTAAAAAGTTAAAAAAAAAAAAATTAAAAACACATCACCCAATTTGGGCAGTGTTACCAAATGCATTCATTTTTCATTGCAAGTTCTCGCCTTCTTCCTTTTTTCCTTATTTGTTTATCTATTGTTTTTGTTTGTTTGTTGTTTTGAGACAGAATCTTGCTCTGTTGCCCAGGCTGGAATGGGGTGGCCAGATTTCAGCTCACTGCAACCTCTGCCTCCCAGGTTCAAGCAATTCTCCTGCCTCAGACTTCCTAGTAGCTGGCAGACAGGAGCCTGCCACCAAACCCAACTCACTTTGGAATTTTTGTATTTTTAGTAAAGATGGGATTTTGCCATGTCATCCATGCTGAACTCCTGACCTCAGGTGATCTGGCCACCTTGGCCTCCCAAGTGCTGAAATTACAGGTGTGAGCCACCACGCCCAGCCAATTTATTTCTTTTTTAAAGAGACAGGATCTGCAAGAAGATGCAGATCCGAAGGAAAAAAAAAAAGAGACAGGATCTCGCTATGTTGCCCAGGTTGGTCTCAAACTCCTGAGCTCAAGCCATCCTCCAGCCTCAGCCACTGCCCCACCTCCCCGGGCCCAATTTCTGGGATTACAGGTGTGCGCTACTTAAAGTTTTGCATTTATTTTCAAATCTTTTTTTTTTTTGGCTCCTTTCCTGGTCATGATTGTCTCATTAAAAAAAAAAAAAAAAAAAAAAGCCAATGGGCATGGTGGCACATGCCTATAATCCCAGCTACTCTAGAGGCTGAGGCAGGAGGAGAATTTCTTAAACCTGGAAGGTAGAGGTTGCAGTGAGCCAAGACAGCGCCACTACTTTAGTCGGGCAACAGAGCAAGAGTCTGTCTCAAAAAAAGAAAAAGAAGAAGAAAAAGAAAATACATGTAAATAAGTCAACATTAGGAACTACTCATTACTCTCATAGAACATGTTCTATTATTGTAGGTGCAAATATTTCCAAAATGTAACTGTATGTATATATTTTTCATCTTAATTTACCTGAAAGATGCTCACAGGTATTGAACTCAATGAAGGAAAATTATAATTTTCTCTTGTGATTTTTTTTTAAAGAGTAGTCAAGGGTAAGTTATAACAAACCATGAAAGGAGGTTACTTTTTTTTTTTTTTTTTTTGAGAAGGAGTTTCTCTCTTGTTGCCAAGACTGGAGTGCAATGGCCTGATCTCGGCTCACTGCAATCTCCACCTCCTGGGTTCAAGCGATTCTCCTGCCTCAGTCTCCTGAGTAGCTGGGATTACAGGCACGTGCCACCACACCTAGCTGACTTTTTGTATTTGTAATAGAGACAGGGTTTCATCATGGTAGCCAGGATAGTGTCAATCTCCTGACCTTGTGATCTGCCCACCTCGTCCTCCCAAAGTGCTGGGATTATAGGCTTGAGCCACCATGCCTGGCCGGAGGTTACATTTTAAAAGTATTTTGTTGATTTATCAGTCAGCAATGACTTCATATGCCTGCTCAATGAAAGACCACTAGAGTTTGAAATAAACTCCCCACATGCTGAGCTGTGTGATTCCCTTATCCTATCACCCCAGCCTCTGCAGTTGGATGACATAAGGTGAGTAATGCTACAGTCTGTTGAAGACTCAACAAAGGCACACTTTGTAGACACCAGAAGAGTTGAACTGAACTTTAATAATAACTTCAGGCCAGGGTGCCAGGAGAGGGTGAGCACCAGGACAAATAGCTGATGCATGCAGGGCTTCATACCTATGCAATAAGTTGATAGGTGCAGCAAACCACCATAGCATATGTGTACCTATGTAACCTGCACATCCTGCACAGGTACCCTGGAACTTAAAATAATAATTACTTAAGGTTTATCTTACAATGCTGCCACCTCCCCAAACAAGTCTGGAGATTGAACGGACATGATTTTAATAGGAGAGGGGTGGAGGGTGAGGGCTGCCACTGGAGAGGTGGGAGAGGAAGAGGAGGCAGATTGAAAATAATTTAAAATTTAAAATCCTGGTCATTGGGTGGAAAGCGTGCTCACATTCCCAGGAGCACAGGGGGAATATGGGTTAAACTTAAGGGACACACTATGAGTTAATCATTCAGGGCACAGGGTGAACGCAAGCAGGAATTCTAAAAATAACGACTTCTCCTTCAAAACTGAAGCAGTCTGCAAGAAGCTGAACTGGAGGAGCTTATTAGCTCGACTTATTTGCCCTCTGCAGCTGATGCTCCCAGTTTAAATCCTGGCACAATCCTAAAATAAGTGTTAGCTCTGCAAAGGTAAAAAGAATTGAGGACACTGAAGAACATGTATCAGGTGAGTTTAGTGTCACAAAACTAGCTCACAAGTCCACATTGTGTTAGGGGCAGCTCCGACCTCTGCATTCTTGTGTCTGTCCACAAAGGTAACTGAAAAGGAAGCAGTCAGATAAGTCACTATGGCAAGCCTTCCTCCTGTTCCACCTCTTCTCATTTGGGTGTCAGTTGCTTGGGAAAGAACAAGGGGAAAGGAAAGGCTGCCAAAAAAAGGCATTCCATTGTGTGTACATGTCAGTTTCGCATTCTGGGCCTTTAATGCAAAAGAGGCCCCTGCTAGGTACCATTTCCTCCTAGTTTGCCACCAAGATGGACAATAGACCTTTTCAACAAACCCTGCAAACTGTTTTAATTCATATTGCTAACACCAGGACTGATGTTACAACACAAGTCTCTTCCTCCTTCTTTCCCCTCCTTCCCTAGTCATTCCACCCTCAAACATTTTGGGGCCCTGTAGTAGATACTAGAGATACAAAGGAGATTAGAACATTCTCTGTCCTTGAATTCTTCTCAGTCAAGTGAAGACAGAAACTGGGGTCTGGACATTTTGAATAATAAAGCCATTTGTGACAGAGACGCAGCACATATTGGAAGTGGAACTTCCATTTCCTGAGTCATAATGAAGACCTCTATGCTCAACACCACATACAAAACATGTGCTATGTAGAAAATGTGTAAATTCCATTAACAAATACATTTATCATTTTGAGACAGGCTATTTGTGTCAAGACAGCAGAATTTCAAGTACTAACTCAATGTTCCCTCTCCACCTTCTTTTTTAATGGCCTTATCTGAATGAATCTCTGTGCCTACCACTAGATAGGTGACCGAAGACTTCTTGCCTTTTTTGTTTGAGGTGGAATCTCACTCTGTCACTCAGGCTAGGGTACAGTGGCATGATCTCAGCTCACTGCAACCGCTGCCTCCCGGGTTCAAGCAATTCTCCTGCCTCACTAGAGAAGTGGCATACCTAGAGCGATTCTCTTGGCTCAGCCTCCTGAGTAGCTGGGACTACAGGCATGTGCCACCATGCCCAGCTAATTGTTGTATTTTTAGTAGACACAGGGTTTTACTATGTTGGCCAGGCTGGTCTCCAACCCCTGATGTCATGATCTGCCCACCTCGGCCTCCCAAAGTGCTAGGATTACAGGCGTGAGCCACCACACCCAGCTGACTTCTTGTTTTTTTCACTGAATTGTTTGGAGCACACACAAAGGGCTTACACCTGGCACTGTCACTTACTGGCAGTTTAAATTTGGGCAAGATTCTTAACTTTTCTGAACCTCAGGTTTCACAACTAGGTCCCAGGGTTAATACTTCTTTTCTCATGGGGTTGCTGTGATATTAAAAATAAAATACTGGGACACAGTAAGCATGCAGTAAATAGAAGTGGTTGTTATTAACAAAGAGACTGTCTACCACCTCCTCTTATTTTAAGCCCCCTTTCTGAGAGAGATGGAGAAAGAAGGCCTAAGTGGCAAGTGTGGCTTTCTGGAGACAGCAGGACTTGAAGGTGCTGCAGCATGATGCAGGAGAAGCAGAGCTTCAGTTCTACCAGGACACTCTTCCATTTTGGTAGGACAGAGTGTCCTAACGCAGCTAGGCTTTTGGGAATAAGCATATCGTAACCCAGGAAACTGGAGTTGAAGGTGTGGGTGCCAGAGACCAGGAGAGGTTCCAGGAATCATGAGAAGTTTCTAAGTTTATAGATAAGCTGGTGACACAAAACCAGGGAATAGATCAGGTTGTATTTATTTATTCCCTTATGAGCAACTCTCATATCTTTTTGCTTTCAGATGTGGCAAATTCATCCCATCTCTGCTGCAGCTATGAGTCTCAGAGAAAGTAAGTCTTGGGTAAACACATCTATTGCCTTTCAACCCTACCCTACTTTGAGCTGTCAGGTCTCTTCCCCTTTCCCCACTCTCTTTTATGGATCCAAAAATTATTCTAGAAAGTACAACTTGAAGACCACTGCCATGATACAATGTTGGGAACCTTGTTCACATGCTAAGGGTCAATATCACTTCAACCTTAGCTGAAGATCACTAGAGCTCGGTGTCACTTCAACTTCAGCTGAAGATCACTAGAGCTCGGTATCACTTCTACTTCAGCTGAAGATCGCTAGAGCTCGGTGTCACTTCAACTTCAGCTGAAGATCGCTAGAGCTCGGTGTCACTTCAACTTCAGCTGAAGATCGCTAGAGCTCGGTGTCACTTCAACTTCAGCTGAAGATCGCTAGAGCTCAATGTCACTTCTACTTCAGCTGAAGATCGCAGGTCAATATCACTTCTGCTTCAGCTGAAGAGCACTAAAGCTCAGTATCACTTCAACTTCAGCTGAAAGTCACCAAAGCTCAATATCACTTCTTCAGCTTAGGATCACTTCTCTCGTTGCCTCTTTAATGTCTGCTTCGTGACATTTGTCACAAGTTAGTTGTGTGGTGAGCTGTCTTCCTCACAAGAACCTTACCTCCAATGAGGGCAGGGAATGAGGTGAATCTGTTTAGATTTGACACTGTGTCTCCAGTGCATAGGCCAGTGCCTCAGACATTGTAGGCTCTGGGAAAAAATGCTTGGGACTAGAATAACCAGAGGACTGGGGGAAATCCCATCCTAGTCTCACTTAGGGGAAGTCAGAATAACATAATGTAGTTCACATTGTATAGTTCTTTGGAGGCAAAAAAAAAAAAAAAAAATGAGATAGTGCATCAAGCCTTTCAAAATCTTTCTTGAGGCCAGACCTGGTGGCTCACACCTGTAATCCCAGCACTTTGGGAGGCCAAGGCAGCCAGATTACTTGAGGTCAGGAGTTTGAGACTGGCCTGGCCAACATGGAGAAACCTCGTCTCTACTAAAAATACAAAAATACAAAATTGCCTCAGTAGATCCGCCCACCTCAGCCTCCCAAAGTGCTGGGATTACAGGTGTGAGCCACCATGCCTGGCTGTTACTTGTAATTTCATTCATCAGTGAGGAGTCTGTGATTATCTTCTTTTTCATCTTTATTCTGTATTTTTGCTTCCTTCTCTCCTTATTAAAAAAATTAATCTGGCTTAGGAAAAGTTTCTCTCTCTTACTATTTTTTCAAAGAATCAACATTTAAATTATTTTTTTCTACTTATATGCTATTATTTTTAGCTTTTATTTTTAATTATTCTCCCTTCATACTTTCTAAAAGAATATTTTATAGATTTTTCTAATTTATTAAGATTACTATCAGGTTTTTTGGGGGGATTTTTTTGGGTTTCTTTTTTCTCCACAGAGTGATGGAGTATCATTCTGTCTCCCAGGCTGGAGTACAGTGGTGCAACCTCAGCTCACTGCAACCTCAGCCTCCTGGGTTCAAGTAATTCTCTTGCCTCAGCCTCCCGAGTAGCTGGGATGCCAGGCATGTACCACCATGTCCGACTAATTTTTGTATTTTTGGTAGAGAAGGGGTTTCACCCTGTTGGCCAGGATGGTCTTGATCTCTTGACCTCGTGATCTGCCTGCCTCGGCCTCCCAAAGTGCTGGAATTATAGGCGTGAGCCACCACTCTCAGCCCAAGTTTGTTCTTATTAGTCTTTCTTCTTTGGAAATTAATGTATTTAACACTATAGAATTCCTTCAGAAAACAGCTTTTACTGTATTCTATTCCCTTCATTTTGCATAAAGTATTTTCCTTTTTATTGCATTCCATATGTCTAATCTGTTTTGATGTTCTCACTAATTCAAGATTTTTAGAAATGTGTTTCCTTTTTTTCCCTCTTTCTTTCTTTCTTTCACTTTTTTTTAGACAAATTCTTGCTCTGTCACCCAAGCTGACGTGATTATAGCTCACTGTAACCTTGAACGCCTGTTCTCAAGTGATCCTCCCACCTCTGCCTCCCAAGTAGCACCACCAAGCCTGTCTAATTTTTTTTTTTTTTTAATTTTTATAGAGACAGGTTTTCACTATGTTGCTCAGGCTGATCAAAAACTCCCAACCTCAAGCAATTCACCTGCTACAGCCTGGCAAAGTGCTGGAATTATAGGCATGAGCCATCACACCAGGCCTAGAAATGTGTTAATTTATAGGTAATTAAGTCTTTTTGTTTATCTTTTTTATACTTATGTCTAATTTTATTATGTTATAGTCTAAGCTTTCTAACATTTGGTGTGAGATTTTCTTTAAGGCCTGCAAACTTTGTTAAAAATTTTAAATTTTGTTAGAAGTTTTTCTTTGAGACTAATTACCAAACAATTTTTATAAATAATCTATGGACATATGGGAAGAAATATACATTTCTTCTCATTACACACACACACACACACACACACACCCTTACTTAAAAGACAAAAAGACCATATCTACTAACTTGAAATTGTTGAGTGTATCATTCAATTTCTCAGTGTCTTCACTTTGTTTGTTTGTTTGTTTGTTTGTTTGTTTGTTTGTTTGTTTGTTTGTTTTGGGACAGAATCTCGCTCTGTTGCCCAGGCTGGAGTGCAGAAGCGCAATCTTGGCTCACTGCAACCTCTGTCTCCCAGGTTCAATCGATTCTCCTGCCTCAACCTCCTGAGTAGCTGGGATTACAGGCATGTGTCACCATGCTGGCTGTTTTTATTTTTAGTAGAGACAGAATTTTACCATGTTAACCAAACTGGTCTGGAACTCCTAACCTCAAGTGATCTACCTGCTTTGGCCTCCCAAAGTGCTGGGATTCCAGGCGTGAGCCATCATGCCCAGCCTTTTATTACCTTTAGACTATTAAGTTTCTCTGATTCTCAAAAATGTATATTAAAATCTCCCATAAAATAAAATTTCCCAATAACAATTTTAAAAATCATCATATTTTATCACCTTTCCTTTCCTTAAATTTAGCTCCATGTTGTTTGATGCATACAGGTTTACGATGTAGTAATTCCTTTATACGTTGTAAGCTATACACTAACATAATGTCCAGCTTTCTATTGTTTTATTTTTATTACTTCGGTGTATCACTTTGTTTTCAGAACTTTTTTACCCCATGTAAAATGTCTTTTTCATAAATAATTTAGAGATAGAGGTTGTTTTCTGTTAAAATATTTTAGCATTTGTTAATATAAAAATTAATTTACTTCATTTTTAGTAAAATTGACTTTTTAATTTTATTCTTTTTTTTTGAGACGGAGTTTCACTCTCATTACCCATGCTGGAGTGCAATGGCGCGATCTCGGCTCACCGCAACCTCCGCCTCCTGGGTTCAGGCAATTCTGCTGCCTCGGCCTCTGGAGTAGCTGGGATTACAGGCACGCGCTACCATGCCCAGCTAATTTTTGTGTTTTTAGTAGAGACGGGGTTTCACCATGTTGAACAGGATGTTCTCGATCTCTTGACCTCGTGATCCACCCGCCTCAGTTTCCCAAACTGCGGGGATTATAGGTGTGAGCCACCGCGCCTGGCTCTTTTTTTCATCATATTTACTATTTACTTAATTTTTCTCTTTTCTTTGTCTTTGCTTTTATGGTTTTGACAAGTTGCTCTTCATTCTCTTTTTTCCTTTCACTGACCTGATGGTTTTATTGTAATGTTTTTATTCCACTATTGATTGCCTTTTATTTTCCCTATGGTTATATAGTCTCATAAACTAACTGGCTTATAAGAGTTTATTTCTCACAATTCTAGAGGCTGGGAATTCTAAGAACAAGATTTCAACAGATTCAGTGTCTGGTGAGAGCTCACTCTCTGCTTAATAGAAGGCATTTTCTATCTGTGTATTCACATGGTAAAAGGGGTGAATGAGCTCCCTTTGGTATCTTCTAAAGGGCATTAATCTCATTCATGAGGGCTCGCCTCCCAAGGTCTCACTTCTTAAAACAATTGCACTGGGGATTAGGTTTCAAAATGTGACTTTGTCAGGAAGGGATATGAACATTCAGACCATAGCAGGCAGCAGTCCCATGAGTGGTGAAAGGAACACTACTATCTGCCCGCAAGGTTCAGCTGTGCACCCACTGCCCAGGTGACAGAGCCCACCTGAGCAGCAGGAGGAAGCATCTCTCCCCCTAGTCTCCTCAGCTGACTGGCCTTGGGGGTAGAAAGAACTCAGCTCAGCCAGGCACGGTGGCTCATGCCTGTAATCCCAGCACTTTGGCAGGCGGATCACCTGAGGCTGGGGCTTTGAGACCAGCCTGACCAACATGGAAAAACCCCGTCTCCACTAAAAATACAAAAGGATTAGCTGGGCATGGTGGCACATGCCTGTAATCCTAGCTACTCAGGAGAATCGCTTGAACCCTGGAGGCGGAGGCTGTGGTGAGCCGAGATCGCACTATTGCACTCCTGGCAACAAAAGCAGCACTCCGTCTCAAAACGAAAAAAAAGAAAAGAAAAAGAAAGAAAGAACTCAGCTCCCTCACTCCTTGGCATAGGAGAGCAATCCCTAAAGAATTCTCAAGTGGGCCAGGCGCAGTGACTCACACCTGTAGTCCCAGCACTTTAGGAGGCTGAGGCAGGTAGATCACAAGGTCAGGAGTTTGAGACCAGCCTGGCCAACATGGTGAAACCCCGACCCTACTAAAGATACAAAAATTATCCAGGTGTGGTGGCGCGCACCTATAATCACAGCTACTCAGGAGGCTGAGGCAGGAGAATCTCTCGAACTCAGGAGATTGAGGTTGCAGTGAGCCGAGATTGCACCATTGCATTTCAGTCTGGGTGACAGGGTGAGACTCCATCTCAAAAAAAATAAAATAAAAATAATTATTATTATTCTTTTTATATATATAGAGAGAGACAGGTTTCACCATGTTGGCCAGGCTGGTCTCAAACTCTTAACATCAGGTAATCCACCAGCCTCGGCCTCCCAAAGTGCTGGGATTACATGCATGAGCCACCACACCTGGCCAAAAATAAGAATTCTTGAGTGGACAAGCATAGCTCTTACCCCTTCCCATCTCTCAAGCATCTAGAGTTTGGTTTGATTTTCACCTCAGGGCTTCTCCATGGCTGATCTTCAGTTCTCAGCAGGCTCAGCCAAGGAAGGAAACTGTGGAGGAGGGTCCCAGGCCCCAGCATCCTCTGGGCTCAGGAGAAGTACAGAGTTTGGACTGGAGATGTGGGCAAAGGCAACAAGGATGAGTTCACACTGCCATTTGCCCAGCAGCTCACAACTTCATGTACTACCATTACCAAAACTATTTATTAAAACAGTTGCTGGGGGCTGGGCTCAGTGGTTCACACCTGAAATCCCAGCACTTTGGGAGGCTAAGGCAGGTGTATCACTTGATGTCAGGAGATCAAGACCAGCTTGGTCAACATGACTAAACGCTATCTCTACTAAAAACACAAAAATCAACTGGGCGTGGTAGTGCGCACCTGTAATCCCAGCTACTAGGAAGGCAGAGGCAGGAGAATCACTTGAATGTGGGAGGCAGCAGTTATAGTGAGCTGAGATCTGCCACTGCACTCCAGCCTGGGCAACAGAGTGAGGCTCTGTCTCAAAAAACAGTTGCCTGAAAAATTTATTGAACATTTAAATACATAACATTAATTTAAACTTTTCAAAATATACATAAGCCCACAGTCATTTTTCTTTTCTCTCTCTCTCTCTCTTTTTTTTTTATTTTTGTGTTGGAGTTTTGCTCTTGTTGCCCAAGCTAGGGTGCAATGGTGGCGATCTTGGCTCACTTCAACCTCTGCCTCCCAGGTTCAAGCAATTCTCCTGCCT